TGTTGTTGATGTTGTTGTTGATGATGTTGTTGTTGTTGATGTTGTTGATGTTGTTGTTGTTGATGTTGTTGTTGTTGATGTTGTTGTTGTTGATGGTGTTGTTGTTGTTGATGTTGTTGTTGATGTTGTTGATGTTGTTGTTGATGTTGTTGATGGTGTTGTTGTTGATGTTGTTGCTGTTGTTGTTGTTGATGTTGTTGTTGATGTTGTTGATGTTGTTGTTGTTGTTGATGTTGTTGTTGTTGATGTTGTTGATGTTGTTGATGTTGTAGTTGTTGTTGTTGATGTTGTTGTTGATGTTGTTGTTGTTGTTGATGTTGTTGTTGATGTTGTTGTTGTTGATGTTGTTGTTGTTGCTGTTGATGTTGTTGTTGTAGTTGTTGTTGTTGATGTTGTTGTTGATGTTGTTGTTGTTGATGTTGTTGTTGATGTTGTTGTTGATGTTGTTGTTGTTGATGTTGTTGATGATGTTGTTAATGTTGTTGATGATGTTGTTGTTGTTGATGTTGTTGATGTTGTTGTTGATGTTGATGTTGTGTTACGCTAGGCTGCAAGGCCTCGTGTGCTTGAGCTCCGGTGTTGTCGCTCGGTTGGCAGCAGCGGCCCGCAGAGAATTCGCAGAGATACACAGAGACACAGAGATACATAGAGATACACAGAGATACATAGAGATAAACAGAGACACACAGAGATAGAGATACATAGAGATACATAGAGATACACAGAGACACACAGAGATACACAGAGATACATAGAGATACATAGAGACACACAGAGACACACAGAGATACACAGAGACACACAGAGATACACAGAGACACACAGAGATGCATAGAGATACATAGATATACACAAAGACATGCAGAGATACATAGAGACACACAGAGACACACAGAGATACACAGAGACACACAGAGATACACAGAGACACACAGAGATGCATAGAGATACATAGATATACACAAAGACATGCAGAGATACATAGAGACACACAGAGACACACAGAGATACATAGAGACACACAGAGACACACAGAGATACATAGAGATACATAGAGATACACAGAGACATACAGAGATAAATAGAGACACACAGAGACACACAGAGATACATAGAGACACACAGAGACACACAGATATACATTGAGATACATAGAGATACGTAGAGATACACAGACATACAGAGATACATAGAGATACACAGTGATACACAGAGATACATAGAGATACACAGAGATACACAGAGACACCCAGAGATACATAGATATACACAGAGACACACAGAGATACATAGAGATACATAGAGATACACAGAGACACACAACGATACATAGAGATACATAGATATACATAGAGATACGGATTCACAGATACACAGCGATTCAGAGATACACAGAGACACACAGAGATACATAGAGATACAGATTCACAGATACACAGAGACACAGAGATACATAGAGATGCAGATTCACAGATACACAGCGATACAGAGATACACAGAGACACAGAGAGAAACATAGAGATACATAGAGATACAGATTCACAGATACACAGCGATACAGAGATACACAGAGACACACAGATACATAGAGATACAGATTCACAGATACACAGAGACACAGAGATACATAGAGATACAGATTCACAGATACACAGCGATACAGAGATACACAGAGACACACAGCGAAACATAGAGATACATAGAGATACAGATTCACAGATACACAGCGATACAGAGATACACAGAGACACACAGAGATACATAGAGATACAGAATCACAGATACACAGCGATACAGAGATACACAGAGACACACAGAGACACATAGAGATACAGATACACAGCGATACAGAGACACACAGAGATACATATAGATACAGATTCACAGATACACAGATACACAGCAATACAGAGATACACAGAGACACACCGAGATACATAGAGATGCATTTTCACAGATACACAGCGATACAGAGATACACAGAGACACACAGAGATACATAGAGATACAGATTCACAGATACACAGCGATACAGAGATACACAGAGACACACAGAGATACATAGAGATACAGATTCACCGATACACAGCGATACAGAGATACACAGAGACACACAGAGATACATAGAGATACATAGAGATACACAGCGATACAGAGATACACAGAGATACACAGAGATACACAGACACACAGACATACATAGAGATACAGATTCACAGAGATAGAGAGATACACAGAGACACACAGAGATACATAGAGATACAGATTCACAGAAAAACAGTGATACAGAGATACACAGAGGCACCCATAGAGACCCACAGAGATCTGTAGAGACTCAGAGGCACTCATAGAGACCTACAAAGAGACACCCATAGAGACCCACAGAAACCTATAGAGACTCAGAGACACCCATAGAGACACACAGAGACCTATAGAGACTCAGAGGCACCCATAGAGACCGACAAAGAGACACCCATAGAGACCCACAGAGACCTTTAAAGACTCAGAGACACCCATAGAGACCCACAGAGACCTGTAGAGACTCAGAGGCACCCATAGAGACCTACAAAGAGACACCCATAGAGACCCACAGAGACCTGTAGAGACTCAGAGGAACCCATAGAGACCCACAGAGACACCCATAGAGACCTACAAAGAGACACCCATAGAGACCCACAGAGACCTGTAGAGACTCAGAGACATCCATAGAGACCCACAGAGACCTGTAGAGACTCAGAGGCACCCATAGAGACCTACAAAGAGACACCCAGAGACCCGCAGAGATACACAGAGACCCACTGACGCTACAAAGAGTAGCACGGTTGCCTCTGTACGGTGCCAAAGAAGTTCAACGCACATTGCACGCACAACTTGAAGCTTTGTCCTTTACTTCAAGGTTGTTTGTTGTATTTCGAGGCCTCATAATGCGAGGCCCTACGCTGGAGCTTACTTGGCTCTGGTCTAAATCCGTACACTGCGTTACACACAAACACACACACACATACACACACACAGACACACACACAGACACACACACAAACACACACACAGACACACACATACACACACACAGACACACACACATACAGACACGCACATACACACACAGACACACACAGACACACACAGACACGCACACAAACACACACATACACATACAAAGATAAAAGATCCCCCGTATAGCCTTAACAGACTGTAGGGGCAAGTGCTGTTAGCGAGCACCTATGAAGGCCGGAACGGTACACGAGGGGGTGGCTGGCCAGCACCACGCCCGACCGCCTTTGTCTCCCTAGTGGCAATGTTTACACACTGCACCAGGTACTCATTTGAGGCTGAGTCGAACTAGGGGAGGCCCGGGAAAATAAACACACACACAGACATACAGACACACACACACACACACAAAGACAAAGATCCCCCATATAGCCATAACAGACTGTAAGGGCACACACACACAGACACACACACACAGAGACAGAGACACATACAGATAGAGATACACCCACAGAGACACGCACACACAGAGGTACAGACACACACACACAAACACACACAGACACACACACACACACTGACATACAGACACACACAGACACACACACACAAACACACATACACACAGACACACACACAGACACACACACACAGACACACACTGACATACGGACACACACAGACACACACTGACACACGGACACACACAGACACACACTGACATACAGACACACACACAGACACACACACAGACACACACACAGACACACACAGACACACACACACAGACACACACAGACACACACAGACACACACACAGACACACACACACACAGACACACACACACAGACACACACAGACCCACACACAGACACACACACAGACACACAGACACAGACACACACACAGACACACACACAGACACACACAGACACAGACACACACACAGACACACACACAGACACACACACAGACACACACACAGACACACACACAGACACACAGAGTGCGGTAGAACCATTAACCTGACGTCGAAGGCACGATGGGAGGGCCAACTCAATGGGCAAGCTCCACTCGTGCCCTCGTTTTGTGATCGGCAGTGGCAACACTGGAACAGACCAAGGAGCCTAAAAGTACACCGCCGATTCACTGCAAAGACCCCAGTGAGTGTGTGAGTGTGTGTGAGAGTGTGTGAGTGTGTGTAAGTGTGTGAGTGTGAGTGAGTGTGTGTGAGTGTGATTGTGTGAGTGTGTGTGAGTGTGTGTGTGAGTGTGTGTAAGTGTGTGTGTGAGTGTGTGTAAGTGTGTGTGTGAGTGTGTGAGAGTGTGTGTGAGTGTGTGTGTGAGTGTGTGTGAGTGTGTCTGTGAGTGTGTGAGAGTGTGTGTGAGTGTGAGTGCGTGAGTGAGTGTGTGTGAGTGCGTGATAGTGTGTGAGTGTGAGTGAGTGTGTGTGAGTAAGTGTGAGTGTGTGTGAGTGAGTGTGTAAGTGTGTGTGAGAGTGTGTGAGTGTGTGTAAGTGTGTGAGTGAGTGTGTGTGAGTGTGATTGTGTGAGTGTGTGTGAGTGTGTGTAAGTGTGAGTGTGTGTGTGAGTGTGTGTGTGAGTGTGTGTGTGAGTGTGTGTGAGTGTGTGTGAGTGAGTGTGTGTGAGTGCGTGAGAGTGTGTGAGTGTGAGTGCGTGAGTGAGTGTGTGTGAGTGCGTGAGTAAGTGTGAGTGTGTGTGAGTGAGTGTGTAAGTGTGTGTGTGAGTGTGTGAGTGTGTGTGTGAGTGTGCGTGAGTGTGTGTGTGAGTGTGTGTGAGAGTGTGTGTAAGTGTGTGTGTGTGTGAGTGCGTGAGTAAGTGTGAGTGTGTGTGAGTGAGTGTGTAAGTGTGTGTGTGAGTGAGTGTGTGTGAGTGTGTGTGAGTGAGTGTGTAAGTGTGAGTGAGTGTGTGTAAGTGTGTAAGTATGTGTGTGTGTGAGTGTAGTGTCAACGATTGGGAGACGTCAGTTTCTAGGAGGCGCCTTCTTCATTCACCACGACTTCCACGGCCGTCGTCCGCTCCACGCTCCCCCACGGTAGCTCGGCCCTCGCCCGTTCCACAGCCCCGGCCGTCCAACGCCGACTGCGCCGACTCCGAGATGGCCAACTTCTCTCCTGCGTAGCATCACGTCCAGTGGAGGCGTTAGACGGCCAACTTCTCTCCTGCGTAGCATCACGTCCAGCAGAGACGTTAGACGGCCAACTTCTCTCCTGCGTAGCGCCACGTCCAGTGGAGACGTTAGACGGCCAACTTCTCTCCTGCGTAGCGTCACGTCCAGCGGAGACGTTAGACGCCCAACTTCTCTCCTGCGTGGCGCCACGTCCAGCGGAGACGTTAGACGGCCAACTTCTCTCCTGCCTAGCGCCACGTCCAGCGGAGACGTTAGACGGCCAACTTCTCTCCTGGCGTAGCGCCACGTCCAGTGGAGGCGTTAGACGGCCAACTTCTCTCCTGCCTAGCGCCACGTCCAGCGGAGACGTTAGACGGCCAACTTCTCTCCTGCCTAGCGCCACGTCCAGCGGAGACGTTAGACGGCCAACTTCTCTCCTGGAGTAGCGCCACGTCCAGTGGAGACGTTAGACGGCCAACTTCTCTCCTGGCGTAGCGCCACGTCCAGTGGAGACGTTAGACGCCCAACTTCTCTCCTGCCTAGCGCCACGTCCAGCGGAGACGTTAGACGGCCAACTTCTCTCCTGCGTAGCGCCACGTCCAGCGGAGACGTTAGACGGCCAACTTCTCTCCTGGCGTAGCGCCACGTCCAGCGGAGACGTTAGACGCCCAACTTCTCTCCTGGAATAGCGCCACGTCCAGCGGAGATGTTAGACAGCCAACTTCTCTCCTGCGTAGCGTCACGTCCAGCGGAGATGTTAGATGGCCAACTTCTCTCCTGCGTAGCGTCACGTCCAGTGGAGACGTTAGATGGCCAACTTCTCTCCTGCGTAGTGTCACGTCCAGTGGAGACGTTAGACGGCCAACTTCTCTCCTGCGTAGCGCCACGTCCAGCGGAGACGTTAGACGGCCAACTTCTCTCCTGCCTAGCGCCACGTCCAGCGGAGACGTTGGACGGCCAACTACTCTCCTGGCGTAGCGCCACATCCAGCGGAGACGAGACGGCCAACTTCTCTCCTGCGTAGCGTCACGTCCAGCGGAGACGTTAGACGGCCAACTTCTCTCTTGCGTAGCGCCACGTCCAGCGGAGACGTTGGACGGCCAACTACTCTCCTGGCGTAGCGCCACATCCAGCGGAGACGAGACGGCCAACTTCTCTCCTGCGTAGCGTCACGTCCAGCGGAGACGTTAGACGGCCAACTTCTCTCCTGGCGTAGCGCCACGTCCAGCGGAGACGTTAGACGGCCAACTTCTCTCCTGCGTAGCGCCACGTCCAGCGGAGACGTTAGACGGCCAACTTCTCTCCTGCGTAGCGTCACGTCCAGTGGAGACGTTAGACGGCCAACTTCTCTCCTGCGTAGCGCCACGTCCAGCAGAGACGTTAGACGGCCAACTTCTCTCCTGCGTAGCGCCACGTCCAGCGGAGACGTTAGACGGCCAACTTCTCTCCTGCGTAGCGCCACGTCCAGCGGAGACGTTAGACGCCCAACTTCTCTCCTGGAATAGCGCCACGTCCAGTGGAGATGTTAGACAGCCAACTTCTCTCCTGCGTAGCGTCACGTCCAGCGGAGATGTTAGATGGCCAACTTCTCTCCTGCGTAGCGTCACGTCCAGTGGAGACGTTAGACGGCCAACTTCTCTCCTGCGTAGCGCCACGTCCAGCGGAGACGTTAGACGCCCAACTTCTCTCCTGCCTAGCGCCACGTCCAGCAGAGACGTTAGACGCCCAACTTCTCTCCTGCGTAGCGCCACGTCCAGTGGAGACGTTAGACGGCCAACTTCTCTCCTGCCTAGCGCCACGTCCAGCGGAGACGTTAGACGGCCAACTACTCTCCTGGCGTAGCGCCACATCCAGCGGAGACGAGACGGCCAACTTCTCTCCTGCGTAGCGTCACGTCCAGCGGAGACGTTAGACGGCCAACTTCTCTCTTGCGTAGCGCCACATCCAGCGGAGACGAGACGGCCAACTTCTCTCCTGCGTCGCGTCACGTCCAGCGGAGACGTTAGACGGCCAACTTCTCTCTTGCGTAGCGCCACGTCCAGCGGAGACGAGATGGCCAACTTCTCTCCTGGCGTAGCGCCACGTCCAGCGGAGACGTTAGACGGCGGCGGCGACGACGACGAGACGGGGGCTTCTCCGGGATCCGGCAGCCTCGGGCTCCCCTCTCTCGGCTCCTTTTACGCTCCCCCGGTTGTTGTATTTACCGCGTAGACATTTTTTTTTATCGAAAAATCATAAAGAGAATAATTCTACGCTCTTTGGTTTTTGTTAGGTAAAGTCACGTAGGTGAAAAAAAAAGTAAAACGACAAAAAAATCACGACGTTTCGGCCACAACTCAAGTGGCCTTCATCAGGTGAAGGGGCCAAATTGTCCAGAGGCCTGTCCAGAGGACAGTTTGGTCCCTTCGCTCCAACGCTGTCCTCTGGACAGTACGACGTTTCGACCATACACACCTGATGACGTTTCGACCATACACACCTGATGACTGCCGTTTGTGTTATGGTCGAAACGTCGTGATAATTTTTTTATTGTTTTATATATATTTTATTATTTTATTGTTTCCCTTCAACGTGACTTTACCGAAAGAGCTAAGAATAAGCATTCGTTAGGCAAGCAGGCTCACTGCCGCACACCATTGCTCCAAGACATTTCGCTAATTGCGTGATCTCACAAATGAATTCACTGAGGTCTAGTTTTGCCTCAGGCAGATGTTTCTTTATTACTGTTCGTATGAATATTGTCACGTTAACTTTTAAGGAACTTTTTCCCTGTCGCCGTGTATGTCCGCTTTACTCTGAGGAATTATCCGATTGTTCCGTTACTCGGTTTAGCAAACTTAACCCTTGAGGGCTAAATGTACGGATCAATGATGAGGACATCTCCAGGAGTACCGTGTTGACATTCCTAGCATAAGAGTTCGCATATTCGAATGTTATGGGGTTTTTTGTAGATGTTAAAGTTGCTTAACACAGAAGAGTGGCGCCTTCCGACAGTGAGGGAAAAAAGTATTTGATCCCCTGCTAATTTTGTGCGTTTGCCCACTGACAAAGAAATGATCAGTCTATAATTTTAATGGTAGGTTTATTTGAACAGTGAGAGACAGAATAACAACAACAAAATCCAGAAAAACGCATGTCAAAAATGTCATAAATTGATTTGCATTTTAATGAGGGAAATAAGTATTTGACCCCTCTGCAAAACATGACTTAGTACTTGGTGGCAAAACCCTTGTTGGCAATCACAGAGGTCAGACGTTTCTTGTAGTTGGCCACCAGGTTTGCACACATCTCAGGAGGGATTTTGTCCCACTCTTGGTTCTGTCGGTAAACAAGAAAATAATAAAATTTAAAACAATTAAATTCTCACGACGTTTCGACTGCAACACAAGCAATCATCAGGTGTGAAATCATCATCAGGTGTGAAAACATCATCATGTTTTATATTTTTATTATTTTATTGTTTCCCTTCTACGTGACTTTACCGAAAGAACCAAGAATATGAATATTTGTATTGATAATACAACCCTAGACAACGAAGCCGAGCCTAAATAGCAGAATTGCATACATTAGCATAATTACATACACTTGTAAAACTTCATATTTAGCATAATGCATAATTTGAATAATTTTACGAATTATAAATTAATACAATTACACGTCTTTTTTATTGTGTGTATGTATATATGTGTGTGTGTGTATATATGTGTGTATATATATGGGTGTATATATGTGTATATATGTGTGTGTATATATGTGAGTGTATATATGTGTGTGTATATGTGTGTGTGTGTATATATGAGTGTGTGTATATATGAGTGTGTATATATGTGTGTGTATATATGTGTGTGTATATATTTGTGTGTATATATGTGTATATGTGTGTATATATGTGTGTGTATATATGTGTGTGTGTATATATAGTCCGGCAAAAACAACCCCCTACCTCCTCGGGGTGCCAGACGGGCAACTCTGTCGTGGACAGTGCTGTGGGGGGAGGGCCAATTCCGATTGGTTCCTCCCCTCATGGCGTCTGTGACCACCACAGGGGCTAAACGGGGGCTCTGGACGGGTGCGAGGGGCTGGTAACCCCTCCACCTTCAATTAATTACCACTAAACTACGAATACAAAATTTAACTAATAAGCTTGTGCCGGAGGCCCCGGGGGGACAGGCGTCTATGACGTCTCCTGGCTAAACCCCAATTGGCGGAGCCAGGAGATTGAATCTCCACCCTCGGGGCTCCTCCAGAAACAACGAAAAGCCACTACGGGTGGCCACATGGAATGTTCGAACGCTCACTGCGGAGGAGAGGCTGCCACTCCTCTGTCGGGAGCTGGACCGGTACCGCCTGGATCTCTGTGGCATTCAGGAGGTCCGGTGGACCGGTTCTGGCTCCTGCCACCATGAGGGGTAGACAGTCCTCTACTCGGGGCAGCAGACTGCCAAACAACAGGGTGTGGCTCTTCTTTTGAACAAAAGAATGAAGGGGGCATGGGAGCGTGGCGGTGAGGTGTGGGAAGCTGTAAGCCCCAGGCTACTTTGGGCTCGCCTTCCCTTCAACCGGAGGTGAGGAGTCGTGGTCGTGGTTACTTATGCCCCCACCGAAGACGAACATCCATGAGGGATGCAGGCAAAGCCGATGAGTCAGATGCCTTCTTTGACCTCCTGTCACAGGTGCAGGCTAAAGTGGCCCCTCGGGATAGAGTCATCATGTTGGGTGACTTCAATGCCCGAGTTGGTCATGATGCTGGCACCTGGTCTGGAGTGATTGGAGGGCATGGGCCAGATCAGCTCAATAACAACGGTAGGAGGCTGCTAGATTTTTGTGCAGCCCATGGGCTTGTAATTACCAACACGCTGTTCCGGCATCGGCGCATCCACACAATATCATGGATGCATGCCGGGTCCAAGCAAGAACATCTGCTGGACTACATAGTGACGGACCAGCGGATGCGAGCCCATGTCCTTGACACCAGGAAATACCGTGGAGCTGATCTGCCCTCTGACCATCGACTAATCATCTGTAAGATGCGCCTGCCATTCTTCCACTCCGGTGGTGGGTGTACACCCAGGACCCCATTCCAACGTAAAGTGGCCTCGTCTCAGTTAGCTGATGAAAGTTGCAAGCGAGAATTTCATCATTGATTGCGGCTGGGGTTGGCATCGTCCCCCACTCCTCCTGATGTCGAGGGTAAATGGGCGAGGTTTAGGACTGTGATTCATGCAGCTGCAATGGCTGCTTTTGGTACGCGGTCCAGACTTCCCCAGAGACCCTGGCTGACAGAGAAGGTATTCAGGATAGTTGAGAAAAAGCGACAGGCCCATTGTCATCGGCTACAGAATCCCACGTCAGAGAATGAGGAGGCTCACCGCAGCCATCGCTTGCAGGTTCGGAGAGCTGTGAGGCGCTGCAAGGATGGGTGGTGGTCGCGGGTTGCTGAGGAGATGGAGTCTGCCTCAGTGGCCCGCGATCACAAATCTCTATTTAACGCCATCAAAAAAGTAACCTGCAGCGCCACACCTATTACCATCATTACGGAAAAGCGGTGATCCAATCTCCGACCCCCAGGAACAGATTTGCAGATTTGCTGAGCATTTCTGTGAGGTTCTGGGGGAGGGGAAATCCCTCATCCAGAAAAACATCGTGGCACAGAGTGGGGATGACCCTGCTGAGGCTGCAGTGCCTCAAATATTGGAGGAAGTCACCCTCTGTGAGTGGCTGGCTGAAGTGCCATCTGTTGAGGAAGTACTGAAGGCGATCCGGAGTCTGAGACCAGGAAAGGCACCGGGTAGAGATGATCTCCCAAGCGAAATGCTGAGGGAGGGTGGCGTTTGTGCACAGACTGCCCTATATGACATAATAACAACAGTCTTGACCACTGGATATGTTCCGCAGGATTGTAAGGATGCCCTGGTGGTCCCCCTCTTTAAGAAGGGGGACTGCACAGACTGTAACAACTAAAGGGGCATCTCACTCCTCATTGTGCGGGGAAAGTTCCTGGCAATGATTATTCAACATCGCCTTGCCAGGCACGCTGAGGAGAGGCTTGCAGAGCCCCAATGCGGTTTCAGGAAAGGGCGGTCCTGCACAGATGCCATATTTTCTGTCCGTCTGCTACAGCAGAGGTGTAGGGATTTCCAACAAGACCTACATCTCTGCTTTATTGACCTGGTCAAGGCCTATGATACCATCAGTAGGCCTGGGCTCTGGGTTGTTCTTCGTGCTTTTGGAGTCCCTGACCCTCTGCTCACGATCATTAAGGACCTTCATGATGGTGAGCGGACCCAGGTAAAACTACGTGGCCGGGAGTCAGAACCATTCCTTGTACACCTTGGGATGCGACAGGGATGCCCTCTGGCTCCCACATTATTTAACATCTATTTTGACCACGTAGTTCGTGAAGCCTTCAATAGCTGTACCGGGGGAATCTCCATTTGGTACAGATATAACGGGAGGCTGATCGATGCCCGGGTGCAGTCAAGGGATGGCTCCCTATTGCTCAACCACGTTATGTATGCCGATGATTTGGTAATAGCTGCTCATTCAGAGGAGGAGTTGGAGACGCTGCTGCTGAGACTGGAGCGTGCCACTAAGAGATGGGGCCTTACCATCAGCCCCACCAAAACTAAGCACCTGCCTGGGTATTTTGTACCATCGGTCACTCCACCCCCACAACTCCCAATCGGTGATGGGGCAGTTGTGGAGAGAGTGGAGAGTTTCCCATACCTGGGCAGTGTGCTCATGACCGGCTCCAGTTTAACAGCAGAGGTCTCACTCCGAATCAGTCGAGCGGCAATATCTTTTCATCGGTTGCATAACGCTGTGTGGAAGCTACCTGGTCTGTTGCTCCGCAATAAGCTTCAGGTCTTCTCGGCCACGGTCATTCCCTCCCTTCTCTACGCTTGTGAAACGTGGACCCCCTTAATGGAACATCTTCGCCGGTTATAAACATTTAGGCTGGCCTGCCTACGACCATCCTGGGTTTAACCAGACTGGATTGTGTGAGGAGTTCACAAATCCTTGAAAGATCTGGGCAAGGGCCCATCGGTGAGCTCCTCCGGCAGGCAAGGCTGCGTTGGCTGGGTCATGTAGCCCGCATGCCCAGCCACCGCATGCCGAAACAGCTTTTGTTCGGCCGGATCGAGGGGACTAAACAGGCGCGGCACGGGCTAGAGAAGAGATGGAGTGATGTGGTACAGGAGGACGTGGAGCTGAGTGGACTTGCCGATGACTGGTACCAGCGGTGTCAAGATCGGCCTCTGTGGAGGAGGCTCGTGAAGGATGCTCTGGGCAGTTGGAGGCAATCGCCCTCCAACAACAACGGAGGGCGGAGGATGACGGTGATGGTGGTGGTGATGGTGACGACGATGGTGGTGATGGTGGTGGTGATGGTGGTGATGGTAGTGATGGTGGTGGTAATGATGGTAATGATGGTAGTGGTGGTGGTAATGATGGTAATGATGGTAGTGGTGGTAACGATGATAGTGGTGGTGGTAATGATGGTAGTGGTGGTGGTAAAGATGGTGGTGGTGATGGTAATGATGGTGATGGTGGTGATGGTAATGATGGTAGTGGTGGTGGTAATGATGGTAGTGGTGGTGGTAATGATGATGGTGGTGATGGTAATGATGATGGTGGTGATGATAATGATGGTAGTGGTGGTGGTGGTAATGATGGTGGTGGTAATGATGGTGGTGGTAATGATGGTGGTGGTAATGATGGTGGTGGTGATGGTAATAATGGTGATGGTGGTGATGGTGGTGGTAATGATGGTAGTGGTGGTGGTAATGGTGGTGGTGGTAATGATGGTGGCGAGGGTAATGATGGTGATGGTGGTGATGGTAATGATGGTAGTGGTGGTGGTGGTAATGATGGTGGTGATGGTAATGATGGGAGTGGTGATGGTAATGATGGTGGTGGTAATGATGGTGATGGTGGTGATGGTAATGATGGTAGTGGTGGTGGTAATGATGATGGTGGTGATGGTAATGATGGCGATGGTGATGGTAATGATGGCGATGGTAATGATGGTGATGGTGGTGATGGTAATGATGGTAGTGGTGATGGTAATGATGGCGATGGTGATGGTAATGATGGTGATGGTGGTGATGGTAATGATGGTGGTGGTAATGATGGTGATGGTGGTAATGATGGTGATGGTGGTGATGGTAATGATGGTAGTGGTAATGATGGTGATGGTGGTGATGGTAATGATGGTGGTGATGGTAATGATGGTAGTGGTGGTAGTAATGATGATGGTGGTGATGGTAATGATGGCGATGGTGATGGTGGTGATGGTGGTGGTAATGATGGTGGTGGTAATGATGATCGTGGTGATGGTAGTGGTGATGGTAATGGTAGTGGTGGTGGTAATGATGGTGATGGTGGTAATGATGGTGATGGTGGTGATGGTAATGATGGTGATGGTGGTGATGGTAATGATGGTAGTGGTGGTGGTAATGATGGCGATGGTGGTGGTGGTAATGATGGTGATGGTGGTGATGGTAATAATGGTAGTGGTGGTGGTAATGATGGCGATGGTGCTGGTAATGATGGTGATGGTGGTGATGGTAATGATGGTAGTGGTGGTGGTAATGATGGTGATGGTGGTAATGATGGTGGTGATGGTAATGATGGTAGTGGTGATGGTAATGATGGCGATGGTGGTGGTGGTAATGATGGTGATGGTGGTGATGGTAATGATGGTAGTGGTGGTGGTAATGATGGCGATGGTGATGGTAATGATGGTGGTGGTGGTGATGGTAATGATAGTGATGGCGGTGATGGTAATGATGGTGATGGTGGTGATGGTAGTGGAGACAAGGGGGGGCGTAAAAAGAGAGAGGTTTTTTATTAAGGCAAACAGGTTCGGAACTTACACCACAGCTCGCCAGGTTCTAGTCACACCAGGTTCTAGACACCCCAGGTTCTAGTCACACCAGGTTCTAGACACCCCAGGTTCTAGTCACACCAAGTTTATAGTCACACCAGGTTCTAGTCACCCCAGGTTCTAGTCACACCAGGTTCTAGACACCCCAGGTTCTAGTCACACCAAGTTCTAGTCACACCAAGTTCTAGACACCCCAGGTTCTAGACACACCAGGTTCTAGTCACACCAGGTTCTAGTCACACCAGATTCTAGACACACCAGGTTCTAGTCACACCAGGTTCTAGTCACCCCAGGTTCTAGACACCCCAGGTTCTAGACACCCCAGGTTCTAGTCACACCAAGTTCTAGTCACACCAGGTTCTAGACACACCAGGTTCTAGTCACACCAGGTTCTAATCACCCCAAGTTCTAGACACCCCAAGTTCTAGACACCCCAGGTTCTAGTCACACCAGGTTCTAGACACCCCAGGTTCTAATCACCCCAAGTTCTAGACACCCCAGGTTCTAGACACCCCAGGTTCTAGTCACACCAGGTTCTAGTAACCCCAGGTTCTAGACACACTAGGTTCTAGTCACACCAGGTTCTAGACACACCAGGTTCTAGTCACACCAAGTTCTAGACACCCCAGGTTCTAGTCACACCAGGTTCTAGTCACACCAGGTTCTAGACACACCAGGTTCTAGTCACACCAGGTTCTAGACACCCCAGGTTCTAGTCACACCAAGTTCTAGTCACACCAGGTTCTAGTAACACCAGGTTCTAGTCACACCAGGTTCTAGTAACCCCAGGTTCTAGTTACCCCAGGTTCTAGTCACACCAAGTTCTAGTCACACCAGGTTCTAGACACACCAGGTTCTAGTCACCCCAGGTTCTAGACACCCCAGGTTCTAGTCACACCAAGTTCTAGTCACACCAGGTTCTAGACACACCAGGTTCTAGTCACCCCAGGTTCTAGACACCCCAGGTTCTAGTCACACCAGGTTCTAGTCACCCCAGGTTCTAGACACTCCAGGTTCTAGTCACCCCAAGTTCTAGTCACACCAGGTTCTAGATGCTACAGATTCTGGGTACTTTGAACTCCTAAGATCAAGCGACATCACTCCATCACCTCTCCCATCACTCCATCACCTCTCCCATTACCCCATCACTCCATCACCCCAACACTCCATCACCCCATCACCCCATCACTCCATCACCCCAACACTCAATCACCCCAACACTCCATCACTCCATCACCCCAACACTCCATCACCCCATCACTCCATCACTCCATCCCCTCTCCCATCACTTCATCACTCCATCACTCCATCACTCCATCGCCTCTCCCATCACTCCATCACCCCATCACTCCATCACTCCATCACTCCATCACCCCATCACCCCATCACTCCATCACTCCATCACCCCATCACCCCATCACTCCATCACTCCATCACCCCATCACTCCATCACTCCATCACTCCATCACCCCACCACTCCATCACTCCATCACTCCATCACCCCATCCCCTCTCCCATCACCCCAACACTCCATCACTCCATCACTCCATCACCCCATCACTCCATCACCCCATCCCCTCTCCCATCACCCCAACACTCCATCACTCCATCCCCTCTCCCATCACCCCGCACCTCCGGTTGGCTAAATACGGTGCGAAATAAGTTCAACACACACACCCACTCACTCCATCCATCACCCGCCATTCCACCCACCCATCACTCATCCCACCCACCAATCCACCCACCCACCGCTCAACCCACCCACCACTCCATCGCTCAGCCACCCACTCACCCACTCACCACTCCACCCACCACCCCACCCACCCACTCACCACTCCATCCCTCACTCACCACTCCACCCACTCACCACCCCACCCACCAATCACTCCACCCACCACCCCACCCACCCACCCACTCACCACTCCATCCCTCACTCACCACTCCACCCACTCACCACTCCACCCACTCACCGCCCCACCCACTCACCAACTCATCCACTCACTCACCCACCCACCCACTCACCACTCCATCCCTCACTCACCACTCCATTCCCTCACTCACCACTCCACCCACTCACCAACTCATCCACTCACTCGCTGCCCCACCCACTCACCAACTCATCCACTCACTCACCACTTCACCCATTCACCAACTCATCCACTCACCCACTCACCCACCCACCCACTGACCCACCCACTCACCCACTCACCCACCCACCGCCCCACCCACCCACCGTCCCACCCACTCATCCACTCACCCACCCATCCACCACCCCACTGCACCCACTCACTCACCACTCCACCCACCAATCACTCCACTCACTCACTCACCCCACCCACCAAACACTCCACCCACTCACCCACCCCACCCACCCACACCCCCCCACCACCCCCCCAACTACTTCCCCGACTCCCCCCCCAACCCCCTGAACACCTCCAACACCGCCCCCAGCGCCTTCATCCTATCCTGGTGCATCCTCAGCGCCAGCTCCGACCGCCGCCTCTCTGCCTCCCTCCGCTCGGCGACGATCTCCCGCAGCAGGGCCCCCACCTCGTCGCCCAGCCCGACCACCACCACCTCGTCGGGGCCCTCCTGCCCGGCGGCCTCGTCGCCCGCCGCCGCCGCCGCCGCCCCCGAGGGTTCTCCGCCGACGCCGCCGCCGGCGCCGCCGCCGGCCCGGCCCGACGTTCTCCGTCGCTTGAGGCCGCGGGCGGCCGACGGCCCTCCCCCGGCGAGCCTCGGGCCCAAGCGGCCGGGGTGAGAGGCGGAGTCCGAGGAGGAGGAGGAGGCGGCGGCCGAGGCGGCGGCGGCAGAGGCGGCCGCGGCCGAGGTGCCGTGAGGGGACGAGGAGGGGGAGGGTCGCGTGGGGGGGGCGTCAACGGGGATGAGGGAGACCGCTGTGGTGGTGGTGGTGGGGAGGTGGTGGTGGTGGTGGGGAGGTGGTGGTGGTGAGGTGGTGGTGGGGAGGTGGTGGTGGTGGTGAAGAGGGGGTGGTGGTGGTGGTGGTGGTGAAGAGGGGGTGGTGAGGTTGTGGTGGTGGTGGTGAGGTGGTGGTGGTGGTGGTGAGGTGGTGGTGGTGGTGGTGAGGTGGGGACAGGGAGAGAGAGAGAGGGAGAGAGAGGGAATCAGGATCGTGAATTTATACCAGAGAAGACACGGGGACATGGACACACAGTTACACACACACACACACAGACACACACACAGACACACACACACACCGACACACAACAACAACAACAACCGCCATTCGCCACTAAGTGGCGGTGACGTCACCACGACGCTTGTGCCAGGCTATGTGCACCCTGAGGCCACGTGAAGTGTCGAACGCCCGCTGGCAGGAGGTCACGGGGCAGACCCAGGTGCCACGGGTCGACTGACTGAGATGACTGGCTGATGCACCACCTGTGCCCCCTACTGTGCCAACTTCCTGTGCTTTAGCCACCCGGCGCTCCGCTCGTTGTTGTGAGCATCGCTCCTCCGCCCTCTGTTGTTGTCGGAGGGCGACTGCCTCCAAGTGCCCAGTAGCAGCGTCCTTCACAAGCCTCCTCCACAGAGGCCGATCTTGACACCGCTGGTACCGGTCATCGGCAAGTCCACTCAACTCCACGTCCTCCTGTACCACATCACTCCATCTCTTCTCTAGCCCGTGCCACGCCCGTTTAGCCCCCTCGATCCGGCTGAACAAAAGCTGTTTGGGCATGCGGTGGCTGGGCATGCGGGCTACATGACCCAGCCAACGCAGAGCTCACCGATGGGACCCTGCCCAGATCTTTCAAGGATTTGTGAGCTCCTCACACAATCCAGCCTGGTCAAACCCAGGATGGATCGTAGGCAGGCCAGCCTAAATGTTTCTAACCGGCGAAGATGTTCCATTAGGGGGGTCCACGTTTCGCAAGCGTAGAGAAGGGAGGAAATGACCGTGGCCGAGAAGACCTGAAGCTTAGTACGGAGCGACAGACCAGGTAGCTTCCACACAGCGTTACGCAACCGATGAAAAGATATTGCCGCTCGACTGATTCGGAGTGAGACCTCTGCTGTTAAACTGGAGCCGGTCATAAGCACACTGCCCAGGTATGGGAAACTCTCCACTCTCTCCACAACTGCCCCATCACCGATTGGGAGTTGTGGGGGTGGAGTGTCCGATGGTACAAAATACCCAGGCAGGTGCTTAGTTTTGGTGGGGCTGATGGTAAGGCCCCATCACACACCGACACACACACCGACACACACACACACACCGACACACACACACACACCGACACACACACACACACACCGACACAAATACACACACACACACACACCGACACACACACACACACCGACACACAACGACACACACAACGACACACACACACACACCGACACACACACCGACACACACACCGACACACAACGACACACACACCGACACACACACACACACCGACACATACACTCGCTCACCTCCATCGTCAAACTGCCCACCACCACCGCCGGCGGCGCCAGCCATGTTGCCGCCCTCCCCGCCGGCCCTGCCACCAGCGGCCGCCGCCGCCCTCGCCCTGTCTCCCAGAATGCCGTGCAGCTCGTTGAAGAAGAGGCAGCAGGAACGGCGCTCCGACGCAGCCGCCGCCGACGACGACGACGTGGAGCGACGCACCGGCACCAGCGCCTTGCGGTACGCGGCGTTCAGAGTCTTCCAGCGGCCCTCCACCTGCACCGGCTGGGGGTGACACGCACACAGTGACACACACACACAGTGACACACACACACAGTGAGACATACACACAGTGACACATACACACACACAGTGACACACACAGTGACACACACACACAGTGACACACACACAGTGACACACACACACAGTGACACACACACACAGTGACACATACACACACACAGTGACACACACAGTGACACACACACACAGTGACACACACACACAGTGACACACACGCACACAGTGACACACACACACAGTGACACACACACAGTGAGACACACACACAGTGACACACACACACAGTGACACACACACAGTGACACACACAGTGACACACACACACAGTGACACACACACAGTGACACACACACAGTGACACACACACACAGTGACACACACACAGTGACACACACAGTGACACACACACACAGTGACACACACACACAGTGACACACACAGTGACACACACACAGTGAGACACACACACAGTGACACATACACACACACAGTGACACACACAGTGACACACACACACACAGTGACACACACACACACAGTGACACACACACAGTGACACACACACAGTGACACACACAGTGACACACACACACAGTGACACACACAGTGACACACACACAGTGAGACACACACACAGTGACACATACACACACACAGTGACACACACAGTGACACACACAGTGACACACACACAGTGACACACACAGTGACACACACACAGTGACACACACAGTGACACACACACAGTGAGCACACACACAGTGACACATACACACACACAGTGACACACACAGTGACACACACACACAGTGACACACACACACAGTGACACACACACACAGTGACACACACACAGTGACACACACAGTGACACACACAGTGACACACACACACAGTGACACACACACACAGTGACACACACACACAGTGACACACACACACAGTGACACACACACAGTGACACACACACACAGTGACACACACACACAGTGACACACACAGTGACACACACACACAGTGCCACACACACAGTGACACACACAGTGACACACACACACAGTGACACACACACACAGTAACACACACACACAGTGACACACACAGTGACACACACACGCAGTGACACACACAGTGACACACACACACAGTGACACACACACACAGTGACACACACAGTGACACACACACAGTGACACACACACAAAGATCCCCCATATAGCCTTAACAGACTGTAGGGGCAAGTGCTGTTAGCGAGCACCTATGAAGGCCGGAACGGTACACGAGGGGGTGGGTGGCCAGCACCACGCCCGACCGCCTTTGTCTCCCCAGTGGCAATGTTTACACACCGCACCAGGTACTCATTTGAGGCTGAGTCGACCTAGGGGAAGCCCGGGACCGGTTCAGAAAATCGTCACTGGTGTTGGCCGTGAGCGGGAATCAAACCCGGGTCGCCAGGTTCATAGCGCAGCACGCTAACCGCTACACTATCACTCCCCACACACACACAGTGACACACACAGTGACACACACAGTGACACGCACACTCAGTGACACAAACACACAGTGACACACACACGCAGTGACACACACACACAGTGACACACAGTGACACGCACACACAGTGACACACACACAGTGACACGCACACACAGTGACACACAACAACAACAACAACCGCCATTCGCCACTAAGTGGCAGTGACGTCACCACGACGCTTGTGCCAGGCTATGTGCACCCTGAGGCCATGTGAAGTGTCGAACGCCCGCTGGCAGGAGGCCACGGGACAGACCCAGGTGCCAAGGGTCGACTGACTGAGATGACTGGCTGATGCACCACCTGTGCCCCCTACTGTGCCAACCTGCTGTGCTTTAGCCACCCGGCGCTCCGCTCGTTGTTCTGAGCGTCGCTCCTCCGCCCTCCGTTGTTGTTGGAGGGCGACTACCTCCAACTGCCCAGTAGCATCCTTGACACCACTGGTACCAGTCATCGGCAAGTCCACTCAGCTCCACGTCCTCCTGTACCACATCACTCCATCTCTTCTCTAGCCCGTGCCGCGCCCACTTAGCCCCCTCAATCCGGCCGAACAAAAGCTATTTCGGCATGCGGTGGCTGGGCATGCGGGCTACATGACCCAGCCATCGCAGCCTTCCCTGCCGGAGAAGCTCACCGATGGGACCTTGCCCAGATCTTTCAAGGATGTGTGAGCTCCTCACACAATCCAGTCTGGTTAAACCCAGGATGGATCGTAGGCAGGCCAGCCTAAATGTTTCTAACCGGCGAAGATGTTCGATTAGGGGGGTCCACGTTTCGATGAAAAGATATTGCCGCTCGACTGATTCGGAGTGAGACCTCTGCTGTTAAACTGGAGCCGGTCATAAGCACACTGCCCAGGTATGGGAAACTCTCCACTCGCTCCACAACTGCCCCATCACCGATTGGGAGTTGTGGGGGTGGAGTGTCCGATGGTACAAAATACCCAGGCAGCAGGTGCTTAGTTTTGGTGGGGCTGATGGTAAGGCCCCACCTCTTAGTGGCACGCTCCAGTCTCAGCAGCAGCGTCTCCAACTCCTCCTCTGAATGAGCAGCTATTACCAAATCATCAGCATACATAACGTCGTTGAGCAATAGGGAGCCATCCCTTGACCGCACCCGGGCATCGATCAGCCTCCCATTATATCTGTACCAAATGGAGATTCCCCCGGTACAGCTATTGAAGGCTTCACGAACTACGTGGTCAAAATAGATGTTAAATAATGTGGGAGCCAGAGGACATCCCTGTTGCACCCCAAGGTGTACAGGGAATGGCTCTGACTCCCGGCCACGTAGTTTTGACCAGGTGAATAAAGCAGAGATGTAGGTCTTGTTGGAGTTCCCTACACCTCTACTGTAGCAGACGTACAGAAAATATGGCATCTGTGCAGGACCACCCTATCCTGAAACCGCATTGGGGCTCCGCAAGCCTCTCCTCAGCGTGCCTGGCAAGGCGATGCTGATAATCCTTGCCAGGACCTTTCCCGGCACACTGAGGAGTGAGATGCCCCTGTAGTTGATACAGTCTGTGCAGTCCCCCTTCCCTAAAAAGGGGGACCACCAGGGCATCCTTCCAATCCTGCGGAACCCGTCCAGTCGTCCAGACTGTTGTTATGATGTCATATAGGGCAGTCTGTGCACAAACGCCATCCTCCCTCAGCATTTCGCTTGGGAGATCATCTCTGCCCGCTGCCTTTCCTGGTCTCAGACTCCAGATCACCTTCAGCACTTCCTCAACAGATGGCACCTCAGCCAGCCACTCACAGGGGGTGACTTCTTCCAATATTTGAGGCACCGCAGCCTCAGCAGGGTCATCTTCACTTTGTGCCACGATGTTTTTCTGACTGAGGGATTTTCCCTCCCTCAGGACCTCACAGAAATGCTCAGCAAATCTGCAAACCTGTTCCTGGGGGTCGGAGATTGGATCACCGTTTTTTCCCCTAATGATGGTAATAGGTGTGGCGCTGCAGGTTACTTTTTTGATGGAGTTAAATAGAGATTTGTGATCACGGGCGACTGAGGCAGACTCCATCTCCTCAGCAACCCACAACCACCACCCATCCTTGCAGCGCCTCACGGCTTTCCGAACCTCCGAGCAAAGGCTGCGGTAAGCCTCCTCATTCTCTGACGTGGGATTCTGTAGCCAATGACAGTGGGGCTGTCACTTTTTCTCAACCATCCTGAACAACTCCTCTGTCAGCCAGAGTCTCTGGGGAGGTCTGGACCGCGTACCCAAAGCAGCCATTGCAGCTGCATGAGTCACAGTCCTAAACCTCGCCCATTTACCCTCGACATCAGGAGGAGTCGGGGACGATGCCAATCCCAGCCGCAAATGATGATGAAATTCTCGCTTGCAACTTTCATCAGATAACTGAGACCAGGCCACTTTAGGTTGGAATGGGGTCCTGGGTGTACACCCACCACCGGAGTGGAAGAATGGCAGGCGCATCTTACAGATAACTAGTCGATGGTCAGAGGGCAGATCAGCTCCACGGTAGGTCCTGGTGTCAAGGACTTTGACTCGCATCCGCTGGTCCGTCACTACGTAGTCCAGCAGATGTTCTTGCTTGGACCCGGCATGCATCCATGATGTTGTGTGGATGCGCCGATACCGGAACAGCGTGTTGATAATTACAAGCCCATGGGCTGCACAAAAATCTAGCAGCCTCCTACCGTTGTTATTGAGCTGATCTGGCCCATGCCCTCCAATCACTCCAGACCAGGTGCCAGCATCATGACCAACTCGGGCATTGAAGTCACCCAACATGATGACTCTATCCCGAGGGGCCACTTTAGCCAGCACCTGTGACAGGAGGTCATAGAAGGCATCTGACTCATCGGCTTTGCCTGCATCCCTCCACGGATGTTCATCTTCGGTGGGGGCATAAGTAACCACGACCACCATTCCTCGCCTCCGGTTGATGGGAAGGCGAGCCCAAAGTAGCCTGGGGCTTACAGCTTCCCACACCTCACCGCCACGCTCCCACGCCCCCATCATTCTTTTGTTCAAAAGAAGAGCCACACCCTGTTGTTTGGCAGTCTGCTGCCCCGATTAGAGGACTGTCCACCCCTCATGGTGGCAGGAGCCAGAACCGGTCCACCGGACCTCCTGAATGCCACATAGATCCAGGCGGTACCGGTCCAGCTCCCGACAGAGGAGTGGCAGCCTCTCCTCCGCAGTGAGCGTTCGAACATTCCACGTGGCCACCCGTAGTGGTTTTCCGTTGTTTCTGGAGGAGCCCCGAGGGTAGATATTCAATCTCCTGGCTCCGCCAATTGGGGTTTGGCCAGGAGACGTCATAAACGCCTGGCCCCCCGGGGCCAGGCGTCTATGTCCATCAATCGGAGGCGAGAAGTGGTGGTCGTGGTTACTTATGCCCCCACCGAAGATGAACATCCGTGGAGGGATGCAGGCAAAGCCGATGAGTCAGATGCCTTCCATGACCTCCTGTCACAGGTGCTAGCTAAAGTGGCCCCTAGGGATAGAGTCATCTTGTTGGGTGACTTCAATGCCTGAGTTGGTCATGATGCTGGCACCTGGTCTGGAGTGATTGGAGGGCATGGGCCAGATCAGCTCAATAACAACAGTAGGAGGCTGCTAGATTTTTGTCCAGCCCATGGGCTTCTAATAACCAACACGCTGTTCCGGCATCGGCACATCCACAAAACATCATGGATGCATGTCGGGTCCAAGAAAGAACATCTGCTGGACTACATAGTGACGGACCAGCGGATGCGAGCCCATGTCCTTGACACCAGGACCTACCGTGGAGTTGATCTGCCCTCTGACCATCGACTAGTCATCTGTAAGATGCGCCTGCCATTCTTCCACTCCGGTGGTGGGTGTACACCCAGGACCCCATTCCAACCTAAAGTGGCCTGGTCTCAGTTATCTGATGAAAGTTGCAAGCGGGAATTTCATCATCGCTTGTGGCTGGGATTGGCATCGCCCCCCACTCCTCCTGATGTCGAGGGGAAATGGGCGAGTTTTAAGATTGCCACTCATTCAGCTACAATGGCTGCTTTGGGTACGCGGTCCAGACCTCCCCAGAGACCCTGGCTGACAGAGGAGGTGTTCAGGATGGTTGAGAAAAAGTAACAGGCCCACTGTCATCGGCTACAGAATCCCACGTCAGAGAATGAGCAGCCTTACCGCAGCCTTCGTTCGGAGAGCTGTGAGGCGCTCCAAGGATGGGTGGTGGTCGCGGGTTGCTGAGGAGATGGGAGTCTGCCTCAGTGGCCCGAGATCACAAAACTCGATTTAACGCCATCAAAAAAGTAACCTGCAGCGCCACACCTATTACCATCATTTGGGGAAAAAACGGTGATCCAATCTCCAACCCCCAGGAACAGGTTTGCAGATTTGCTGAGCATTTCTGTGAGGTCCTAGGGGAGGGGAAATCCCTCAGCCAGGAAAACATCGTGGCACAAAGTGAGGATGACCCTGCTGAGGCTGCAGTGCCTCAAATATTGGAAGAAGTCACCCCCTGTGAGTGGCTGGCTGAGATGCCATCTAAAGGCGATCCGGAGTCTGAGACCAGGAAAGGCACCGGGTAGAGATGATCTCCCAAGCAAAATGCTGAGGGAGGGTGGCGTTTGTGCACAGACTGCCCTATATGACATCATAACAACAGTTTGGACCACTGGATGGGTTCCGCAGGATTGGAAGGATGCCCTAGTGGTCCCCCTCTTTAAGAAGGGGGACCGCACAGACTATAACAACTACAGGGGCATCTTACTTCTCAGTGTGCCGGGAAAGGTCCTGGCAAGGATGATTCAACATCGCCTTGCCAGGCACGCTGAGGAGAGGCTTGCAGAGCCCCAATGCGGTTTCAGGAAAGGGCGGTCCTGCACAGATGCCATATTTTTTGTCCGTCTGCTACAGCAGAGGTATAGGGAATTCCAACAAGACCTACACCTGCTTCATTGACCTGGTCAAGGCCTATGATACCATCAGTAGGCCTGGGCTTTGGGTTGTTCTTCGTGCTTTTGGAGTCCCTGACCCTCTGCTCACGATCATTAAGGGCCTTCATGATGGTGAGCGGGCCCGGGTAAAACTACGTGGCCGGGAGTCAGAGCCATTCCCTGTAAACCTTGGTGTGCGACAGGGATGTCCTCTGGCTCCCACGTTATTTAACATCTATTTTGACCACGTAGTTCGTGAAGCCTTCAATAGCTGTACCAGGGGAATCTACATTTGGTACAGATATAATGGGAGACTGATCGATGCCCGGGTGCGGTAAAGGAATGGCTCCCTATTGCTCAACCACGTTATGTATGCCGATGATTTGGTAATAGCTGCTCATTCAGAGGAGGAGTTGGAGACACTGCTGCTGAGACTGGAGCGTGCCACTAAGAGGTGGGGCCGTACCATCAGCCCCACCAAAACTAAGCACCTGCCTGGGTATTTTGTACCATCGGACACTCCACCCCCACAACTCCCAATCGTTGATGGGGCAGTTGTGGAGAGAGTGGAGAGTTTCCCATACCTGGGCAGTGTGCTTATGACCAGCTCCAGTTTAACAGCAGAGGTCTCACTCCGAATCAGTCGAGCGGCAATATCTTTTCATCGGTTGCGTAACGCTGTGTGGAAGTTACCTGGTCTGTCGCTCCGCACTAAGCTTCAGGTCTTCTCGGCCACGGTCATTCCCTCCCTTCTCTACGCTTGCGAAACTTGGACCCCCCTAATGGAACATCTTTGCCGGTTAGAAACATTTAGGCTAGCCTGCCTACGATCCATCTTGGGTTTAACCTGGCTGGATTGTGTGAGGAGCTCAAAAATCCTTGAAAGATCTGGGCAAGGTCCCATCGGTGAGCTCCTCCGGCAGGCAAGGCTGCGTTGGCTGGGTCATGTAGCCCGCATGCCCAGCCACCGCATGCCGGAACAGCTTTTGTTTGGCCGGATCGAGGGGGCTAAACGGGCGCGGCACGGGCTAGAGAAGAGATGGAGTGATGTGGTACAGGAGGACGTGGAGCTGAGTGGACTTGCCGATGACTGGTACCAGCGGTGTCAAGATCGGCCTCTGTGGAGGAGGCTCGTGAAGGATGCTACTGGCCAGTTGGAGGTAGTCGCCCTCCAACAACAACGGAGGGCGGAGGAGCGACGCTCACAACAACGAGCGGAGCACCGGGTGGCTAAAGCACAGCAGGTTGGCACAGTAGGGGGTACAGGTGTCTGGGTGTCTGTGTGTGTGTGTCTGTGTGTGTCTATGTCTGTCTATGTCTGTGTGTGTCTATGTCTGTGTGTGTGTGTCTGTGTGTGTGTCTGTGTGTGTCTGTATGTTTGTCTGTGTGTGTGTCTGTGTCTACCTGGAACTTGAGTCCCATCTGCTGCAGCTGCTCCGTGATCTCGACCCACAGCGTCTTCTTGCGATACTTGCGGCTGTTGAACTTTGCGATGAAATCCTTGTAGACGTTGATGAGCATCAGTGTGGAGGCACGGTCCCATACTCCTGTGGGGTGGTGAGTGGGGGTGGTGAGTGGGGGTGGTGAGTGGGGAGGTGAGTGGGGAGGTGAGTGGGAAGGTGAGTGGGGGTGGTGATTGGGGGTGGTGAGTGGTGAGTGTAGTGGTGAGTGGTGAGTGTAGTGGTAAGTGGTGAGTGTAGTGGTGAGTGAGGTGGTGAGTGGTGAGTGTAGTGGTGAGTGGTGAGTGTAGTGGTGAGTGAGTTGGTGAGTCTCACGTTGGAGCTCCTCCTGTCCCACCGCCCCCACGACCTCCACGTGTTCCACCACCGTCGTCTCATTCTCTGCTGAGACAAGGAGACACAGAGACACAGAGACAGAGACACAGAGACATGGGGACACAGAGACACAGAGACATAGGGACACAGAGACACAAACAGAGAAACAGAGACTCAGAGACACAGATAAATGGGGACACAGAGACACAGAGACTCAGAGACTCTCAGAGACTCACAGAGACTCAGAGAGACCCACAGAGACTCGGAGACACACACAGAGACCCACAGAGACCCACAGAGACTCAGATACACTCACAGAGACTCACAGAGACTCAAAGAGACTCACAAAGACTCAGAGACTCACAGAGACTCAAAGAGACCCACAGAGAATCAGAGAGACTCACAGAGACTCACAGAGACCCACAGAGACTCACAGAGACACACAGAGACCCACAGAGACACACAGAGACTCACAGAGCCTCAGAGAGACCCACAGAGATCCACATAGACTCACAGAAACCCACAGAGACTCATGGAGACGCACAGAGACTCACAGAGACCCAGAGAGACACACATAGAGCCATAGAGACACACACAGACCCACAGCAACACACAGAGACCCACAGAGACACACAGAGACACACAGAGACTCAGAGATACACAGAGACTCACAGAGACCCACAGAGACTCACAGAGACCCACAGAGACACACAGAGACCCACAGAGACACACAGAGACTCAGAGATACGCAGAGACTCACAGAGACCCACAGAGACACACATAGACCCATAGAGACACACAGAGACCCACAGAGACACACAGAGACTCACAGAGACACACAGAGACTCAGAGAGACCCACAAAGACTCAGATACACTCACAGAGACTCACAGAAACTCACAGAGACTCGCAGAGACCCACAGAGAATCATGCAGACCCACAGAGACTCACGGAGACCCACAGAGACTCACAGAGACTTACAGAGACTCATGGAGACCCACAGAGACTCACATAGATGCACAGAGACTCACAGAGACCCACAGAGATTCAGAGACCCACAGAGACTCACAGATACTCAGAGAGACCCACAGAGAATCAGAGAGGCACACAGAGACCCACAGAGACTCACAGAGACCCACAGAGACCCACAGAGACTCAGAGAGACCCACAGAGACTCACAGAGACCCACAGAGATTCAAAGAGACCCACAGAGACTCGGAGACTCACAGAAACCCAGAGACTCAACGAGATGCACAGAGACTCACAGAGACTCACAGAGAAACAGAGACTCACAGAGCCTCACAGAGACTCACAGAGACCCACAGAGACACACAGAGACCCATAGAGACACACAGAGACTCACAGAGACCCACAGAGACACACAGAGACCCACAGAGACTCACAGAGACCCACAGAGACTGAGATACACAGAGACTCACAGAGATACATAGAGATACACAGAGACTCACAGAGACTCAGCGAGACCCACATAGACCCACAGAGACACACAGAGACCCACAGAGACCCACAGAAACACACAGAGACTCACAGAAACCCACAGAGACCCACAGAAACCCACAGAGACTCACAGAAACCCACAGAGACTCACAGAGACCCACAGAAACCCACAAAGACTCACAGAAACCCACAGAGACTCACAGAGGCCCACAGAGACACACAGAGACTCACAGAAACCCACAGAGACTCACAGAGACCCACAGAGACCCACAGAGACTCACAGAGACACACAGAGACTCACAGAGATACACAGAGATACACAGAGACTCACAGAGACTCACAGAAACCCGCAGAGACTCACAGAGACCAACAGAGACCCACAGAGACTCACAGAGACACACAGAGACTCACAGAGATAAACAGAGATACACAGAGACTCAGAGAGACCCACATAGACACACAGAGACCCACAGAAACCCACAGAGACTCACAGAAACCCACAGAGACTCACAGAGACCCACAGAAACCCACAGAGACTCACAGAAACCCATAGAGACTCACAGAAACCCACAGAGACCCACAGAGACACACAGAGACACAGAGACTCACAGAGACCCACAGAAACCCACAGAGACTCACAGAGACCCACAGAAACCCACAGAGACTCACAGAAACCCATAGAGACTCACAGAAACCCACAGAGACACACAGAGACCCACAGAGACCCACAGAGACTCACAGAAACCCACAGAGACTCACAGAAACCCACAGAGACCCACAGAGACCCACAGAGACTCACAGAGACACACAGAGACTCACAGAGACCCACAGAAACCCACAGAGACTCAAGGAGACGCACAGAGACAGACTCACCGACACCCATCTCCTAGCCACCTTGGCGTTTCCCGAAAGACGTATATTACTCGCAATGGTATTCTTTGAGTCTTTTGGTAAAGTCACCCAGATAAGTTCAAATAAAACAAGAAAATAACAAAAAACACTACCACGTTTCTCTTTCGATTTAAAGCGTTCGTGACTGCAAGGATTCATCTTCTTTGGTTCTTTCGGTAAAGTCACCACCACGTAGAATGAGAATAAAATAATAAATTAATAAAATAAATAACACATTCAAATTCTCACGACGTTTCGGCCACAACGCAAGCGGCCGTCTTCAGGTGAAAGGTACAGACCTGTCGGGACGACAGAGCTCCAATTGAACCACAACCACCACCACTCAACCACAAGCTCTGTCGTCCCGACCGGTCTGTACCTTTCGCCTGAAGACGGCTGCTTGCGTTGTGGCCGAAACGTCGTGAGAATTTTATTGTGTTATTTTATTATTTTATTCTCATTCTACGTGACCTTACCGAAAGAACCAAAGAACACGTTTCTCTTTTTCAACGGTTTCACTTAACTTCACCGCTGTGTGTGTCGTGGTTAAATCTTGTAATCACAATTTTTAGTCGACTTCACGTCGTCAAATGAATTCCAAATTGTGCCCACGTGCTCAGAGATCCGGTAGCGATGCGTGCCTCTATCAAAATCGGCATCAATTAAATCAATTAATTGCCTCCTTTCAAAGCAATTACAATTGTCTATGGACGCCTTATTATTCGGTACTAGCTGTACTACTATTGGCTTCGCCCGGGACTTGGATTCACCACTCCCGGCCGCCTTTGTCTCCCCAGTGGCGATGTTCACACACCACACCAGTTACTCGTTTGATGCTGAGTCGACCTAGGGGAGGCCCAGGACGGGGGAAAAATAATCGTCACCGTTGGTGGCCGTGAGCGGGAATCGAACTCGGGTCGCCGGGTTCGGTTGATTAGTAATATTATTCATTAAATTATTTATGATATCCTGTAAGATTTAAAATCTTATTTATAATCTTCCGGAAGATCACAAAAGAGATGCATCATCTTCCGGAATGTCTACCATTCCAGAAGATGCATCATCTTCCGGAAGATCACAAATGAGATGTATAATCTTCTGGAAGATATCTACCCTTCTAAAAGAGGTATAATCTTCCTGAAGAATGTCCTTGTGATCTTCCGGAAGATGTAAAATCTTCCGGAAGATCACAAACGAGACGCATAACCTTCCGGAAGAAGTCTTTGTGATCTTCCGGAAGATTGTAGATCTTCCAGAAGATCACAAACGAGATGCATAACCTTCCGGAAGATGTCTTACAAAATGATGTGCTTCACTCGGATATTGATAATGTCTGTGATATCCCCAACCTGACTACGGCTTGGGAGACCTTCAGGTACACGTTTCTCCAAATTCTTAACAAACATGCTCCGTCGGTTAGATTTAATACTAAAGGCAACCGCCCACCATGGTATGATCCTTTGATTACAAAGCTCATGAAAACTAGGGACAAGGCTTGGGCATGTGCTCAGAAAAGTAATTTGGTCAATGACTGGCTAGAATACAGGATTTTAAGGAATAGATGCGTCAAAAAAATACGGCATGCAAAAAATGCCTACTTTTCCTCCACTCTTCTGGAATCACATGGAAATGCCAGGATTTTTTTGGAAAACAATCAAATCTATCGAAAAGGCATCCAGAACAGACAATCTGCCCGTTGAGCTCAACCGAAATGGGGAATATTTTTCAGATCCCAAAAAAATAGTTGACAATTTTAACCTTCATTTTTCTGAAGCTGGTAATCTTTTTGATAATGTATTGGGAGTCACCCCTGCTCCTGCAAATTCCTACACCCCTGTCCAAACATTAAACGAATTTAGTTTCCAACCAATCCACGAAAGTAATGTTCTGAAACAGCTGTCCTACCTCAAAGGGTCCTCCTCTACCGGAACAGGTCGTTTTCCCGTCTTTGCTCTACTAACTGTTGGTCACCTAATATACAAACCTATAGCCCATATTTTCAACCTGTCCATCAAAGAAGCATCAGTTCCTCTAGAATGGAAACATTCCGATGTCCGTCCACTTCACAAAGGGGGCCCTAAAGATGATCCCAATAACTACCGGCCTATCTCAATTTTGTCCCCGTTGATGAAAATTTTTGAAAAATTACTGAACTACCAAATTAGCAGTTTCCTGTCCACCAACAATCTACTACATCTAAAACAATCTGGGTTCCGAAAAAAAATACAGCACCACATCTGCTGCATTAGACTCTTTGAATCAAATTTACAATAGCCTTGATAATAAAGCAGTACTGTGCCTACAGTAGACCACAACACCCTGCTTGGTAAACTAAGTTGCCTCGGTTTTTCCGAGAACACAGTACAATGGTTAAAAAAATACCTCTTTTCTCGCACCCAAACTGTATTCACAGATGGTTGGAGGTCAAACAGTGTTAAGATAACAAAAGGGGTTCCACAGGGTTCCATCCTCGGCCCCCTCTTGTTCTCTCTTTATGTCAATGACTTGGGCACTGACCTGGATCATTCCAGGGTAAATCTTTTTGCAGATGACACGATACTGATTACTGCTGGCCGCTCTCCAGATGACGTGATTGCTAAGCTTATAGGGTGATTTCAACAAACTACAACATCAGCTAGTTGCTCTTAAACTAGTCCTGAATACCTCCAAAACCAAGGTGCTATGCTTCTCACTGGGACTAAAGCAGGATGTTATTTTTCC